TCGTCCCCCACAGCTTTTATATTCTGCGCCGCCGAAAAAGAACTCAATAATTCAGTCTTTGCTTTCCTTTGTAACGCCAGACGCCATCATCAATCTATTAGTAGCATTCCTCGCATTTTTCCCGCCGTTGAATGAATCGAAATTAATGCATTCCACCTGGAGTGAAGTGGGCGCGCTTTGAACTTTGCTGTCGCACCGACTGAGAATGGAGTCGCACTTTCGAGAGACTTGCAATTTTATTAAGCAGCCCCTGCTCCATCAAAGCAATCTCGCCGAGTATCTACATAACCGGCGAGTTGGATAGAGAGAGAGAAAAAGGTCGTTTTGCTCTGGCGAATTGTACACGATTTTGAGTGGCATGCCATATATTGTGTATGTGTCATCAGTGAGTGTTTACATTGAAGTTCAACAGTCATTTTTGCGCTGATATATAAAAGAAGAAAAAACTAGATATTGCTCTGCACTCGAGATTGAAAGTAAGAGAAATAAATCACAACGTCGGAAGCGCCCAATCTGATAAAAAATACATTTAATTGATTTTTTATAAGAATTTTTAGAAAACCTATGATGAAAAAAATTATTAATTTTAAACTGATTTTATCCTGGTTCATAAATGAAATATGATATGTAATAAAAACAGGTGAAGCTTCTTTAAAAACCCAAGGATTACTTGGATATTTCTCAACTTTTAAATTAGCAATTTTATGTACAATAAAACACTCTCATATTCACCGGAAAGCAAACTAATTGTAAATTAACAAAAAAAATTTCTTGTTATTAAAAATGAACTACGACCGATTAAATTGACAAAAACCGCTGAAAAATAAAATAACTTAACTATGACAAATAATCATAATTTTCTGAAAAAAGCCAGACACGTTTGCAAGTGTTTTAATTAATTATTACACTTCAATTCATCTTCACACTTCCGACCTCTGAGTGCTCCGTGTCCATCAATAATGCATTATGCAGTGCATTCCGAGCACTCTCTCTTTCGTTCCGGCCGTCAGGTAAAGCAGTGCGGAGCGTTTGCTGTTAATTCCCTCTTGACTTGAATTCGCAAATTTGCATGCAGCGGAAAGGCCATATTTGCTCTTTGAGAAGTGCACCTTTCCAGGCGTACTTTCTCCTCAAAGCAGCACGGTATAGCCCGGTGCCGACGCCCGTGCCGCTCTTCTGTTTGCTCAACCTTTATTTTCAGTGTTGTCGGCAAATAAAGCGCCCACTTGACCCACCATTGTTGTAGCCCTTATCTAATTTTTTTACATCTGCTGTATCTTTCCACTCGTCTCGTCATAACTCTAATGGCGTTTCCTTTTGCTATCCACAGCCGGCCGGCTTTTTATTGCTCACGGTCAATGCTGTTCCGTCCAATAATAACGTGACTCTCCGCTGCAGTTCATCGTTTATTTAAAAAAGCTGCATCTGAAATTCAATGGCGCAGAAGATCGAAAATTAAAAATTCTCATCTTTGCAGGTGTTTGTAACATAATGCACATAGAAAATACACATCATTTGAAGGATTTTAGTGTGGAAAACATAGAACACTTTCTCCGTAAAACGAAGTCATTGAAGTTTCAACATATTATGTTAGGCGAATAACATCAAATTTTATAAAAAAATTTCATAAAAGACAAAAAAGATGGAACAAAAATTGAGTTGTAGCACATATAAATAATGTTTGGTTCTGTGGTGCTATTAATATATTAAATACAATGATCAGAAAAGCTTTAATTTGAATTTAATTTGTAATTTATTTAAGTTTATTGAAATTTAATTCATTAAAAATAACAGTTTTTAAATTTATTAAAAAAAAAACAATTTATAAAATTAAACATAATATAAAATAAAGAATTGTTGTTAAATTTTTTTACGTTTTAAATATTGTTTCTACAAAAACAGTTTTAAGTAATTTTAATTCCCATTGCCCATGCTCCAGATTTTTCTCATCAAAAGCGCCACAAAGAAAACTAATTTACATCTGCTGTATCTTTCCACTCGTCTTGTCATAGCTTTAATGGCGTTTCATTTTGGTATCCACAGCCGGCCGGCTTTTTATTGCTCACGGTCAATGCTGTTCCGTCCAATAATAACGTGACTCTCCGCTGCAGTGCAATGTTTATTTAATTATGCTGCATCCACAATCCAATGGCGCTGAAGACTCCCAGCTTTCCCAGAAAAACCAAATCATTGAAGTTTCAACACATTATGTTGGGTGAATATCATCAATTTTTATAAATTAATTCATAAAAAAATGACTTTCTCATTGATCAACAATTGCACTTCAGCGTAGGCCTGAACTGTCTGAAGGCATCATATTTTTTTTTAGTTAATTGGTTCATCATTTGATGCTTGCAATAATGTAAATACAATTATTAGAAAAGTTTCAAATTAAAATTTGGATTTTGTTTGAAATTTATTTAAGTTTAATTAAATAAAAATAAAAGTAAAAAGTATAAAAAAAAATGAAATAACAATTTGTAAATTTAAATAAGCTAAAATAAAGTAAGAAATTGATAAATTTTCACGCTTTAAAATTTTTTGCTACATAAAAAATTTAAAGTACATATAATTTCCGGTGCTCTAAATATTTTTTTAATAAAACTATCATTATGAAAATTAAAAAATTTCTCGCAAATGCCATATTTTTTTTTCTCTCCCAACGTACTGAGAGCGTATCCGAAATGTTTCCTACATAAAAGAGCACTTTATTGCAAATTGCGAGCCGCTCTCCTCTCTCGGTGAGCATCAAAGTGGTGGAAACAATTGAAACAAGGAAGCAGAGTGATGTACGCAGCGCACGAGATCCAGATATGTACGTTGGTTTTGCGCGGAGGGTCTTTGATGTGAACGCCGACGAGGTGAGCCGCGAAACTGGAGCGACGAGGGATGCTGTCGGAACATGGGGATTTCGCTTTGTTGCGCTTATTGGGTCAAGCACCCATTAAACTGCAGCTGCCGTGCGTGCAACGGAAAGAAATTACGCCGGCAAAATCATTTCAAAAATGCACTCGACGAGCGGCGAGAGCTGCAGCCCGAATCCAATTATTCTGCGAATTTCCAGCCGAGCGTGACATCTCATGTAATGAGCACGTGGCCACACATGGAACTCAGCATCCCTGTCATGCTTAATTTCATCATGTGTATCAATCAAAAAGTATGTCACATCGTCAACTAAATTGAAAAAAGAATGTGCTGAAAAATATCGTTCAAAACATTAAATGGAATTGCAATTTTATTTATATTTTTACTCATTTGATTTCCCTCTGATCAGATTTATTATGAGTTCTTTGTATTGTTAAATTTTCTTTCAGTTTGTTTTTTTAACCCAAAATCAATTATTTATTCAAACAAAAAATTTTTTTTTTTTCGATTGACCAAAAATTAAAGTAAAAATTAAATCTGCAATTTTTTTTAACAAATTTGTATGTATGCTGTAAAAATTCTTTAATCATTAAACAGAATGATAAAAAATATTGAGGGAATGGTGTCGAGCTTGAACGATTAAATTACGTTTCATTCATTATAAGTTGGGAATTTTTTCGTTAATTTTATAGAACTCCTGAATTGAATATTGTAATTTGTGGTAACTTAAATTGAAATTATTTAATGAATTAAATTTGGCCAGATCAATTTTTAAATAAAAAATTTTCAGCCATACTTTGTGCTTACAAACAGAGAGAATAAATTATTTGATTTAAACCGTAAAATTACAAATAATACATTAATTTCCATTCCAACATAAGCCGCGGAACATAAATTTATTTCTAAATTATTATCAGAATTTAAAATTGCAGCATTATTTTCAGTCTAAATTACAAGTGGTACCATTTAGTGCAAATCGTGTGTAGCTGAGGCACTTAAGGGCTTAGCGAGGCCCAAATTGGAAGTCGTGGAGCGAGTTAATTAATTAACCTTGGAAGCGCGCGTCGAATGCAGGAGTCTTGTTTTCCGTTTTGGTCTTTCGGTGTGACGAAATTGAGGAGTGCGAGATGATAAATTGTTTGCCTTGACGGATTGTTTGCGGGCCGTGCAAGGAAACGAGGACACACAACTCTCATTTGCGCTAATTGTCGCGCGCGTCTCGCCCGGCGTTTCGGCGGCGACCCCTGATCGACCACTTCTGGTGACACAATTCGCAGGGTGGAGCGGCCTTTATTGTTACATCTCGCACGTGTCATCATGGTGAGTGAGGTTGAACATAGAGGAAATCCCTTTGGTTACATCCTTTCCAAACTTATATTAAAATAAAACATTGCTTCCAAAAATCTGCATAATATTTTGAGAACTTTGAATTCAATTTTTTAATTAATTTCAGACCCTCCGTTATAAGAAGTAATTAATACAATTATTATTCATTAAAAAATGAATCTTAAATCATGATTTTTCTTTTTGTTTTGCGACCATTTTATTAAAAATTAAGAAATTTTATAATATGCATGATTTTTTTCCTCCAACCAATAAGTTAACATTCATTTTTTTCTCAAATATAATAAAGCACAAATTTACCCCAACGGTTTATGCCACTAGGAAATGAAAAATATTTTTGGATTAAAAGTTAAAAGCCATCTTGAGTCAGAGTGGTGCTTTTAACAGTTGCAAAAGTTGCGAGTGTTCGCAAGGAACAGTTTGTTTTTCTTGCATAAAAGGGCACAGCTGATAGAAACTGCTCTTTTTCCCTTCCGAGCAATAATACTTTAAAGCTTTCAAAAAGAAAATTCTCCACATGCAGCGCATAACGGCGAAAATATCCCATTTCCATCAAGCACTGCTTTCAAAAGAGGACGAAATCAATGTATAAAAATTGGCAAATGGAGTGTTTGCCGTATCTCTCGGGGGCTGCTTTTGTCGGGACCGAAATTTACGAGGAAGCAATTTGCATTGAAAAATCGCCCTCTGATTGCTCCTTTTGTTTGGCCGGGGCACTTTTCGCAACTCGGCGCGAATATTCTGTGCAGACTTTGCACAAACCGAGGGAGAAAGGGATGAAAACAACTCACCACTTTTCGACTTCTTGCCGTCATGACCTCGTCGTTCGAAGAACTGGAACAGAGAGAAAAAGACACACAGATCAGATTTTGTTCCGCTGAAATGAGTGATGTGGGGGGCTTGGAGAGTTGCTGCAGCTGCAAAATCAACGCCCCGCCGGAATGGATAATTTATTCCCAGTCAGCGAGGTGATCGTGACCAGGAGAAAATTATCCGCACCGGCCAATATTTGCAGCTTTTCCAATCCGAGGCTGAAAATTATGCACACTGGCGACTCAAATGTAAACTAGCTGATCAAAGATAAAAAAAAATTATGCATAATAGAGTGCAAATTTTTGAAAAACAAAGTGACCTAATAATGGAAAAGGGTTAAATAAATCAACTTAAGTGATTTTATTTTTTATCTCAAATTTAATTTTGCCAAAAATTTTCACTTTTAAGGGCTGATTCACGTTTGATTGATATCAAATTCAGCTTTTCCTTGATGGGTTCCCTAATCAAAATGTTTTGAATTATTAAAATAAAAAATTAAACAAGAAACCAATAAAAACCTGCATCAGCGTAGAGATTTTTATATTCCTTTCAACTGTGAATTTTTCTGTGCAAATTGAAATTCTTTTGTTCTACGATTTCTATGAATAATTGAAAACTTTCAACGTTTTTCCTGTTTAAAGGAAATTGCCAGTTGTTTCTAAAAAACAATATTTATCAAAATCACATTAAATTCATTCAGGATGGATTATACAAGTGATATTATTTGCCAATTTAAAGTTGCAGACTTTTGCTATTAAGAGTGTCACTCATATTAACGAGCAGCAAAAATACTTCCTAAGAATTCGCTCTCGTCGGCACGACGAATTTAAGCAATTTCCTCGCTTTCTTTGACTCCACTCGTGCAACTTGGGACACAAAGATATATTTCTCCGCTCTCGAAATGTATTTTTGGCGCTGATAAAAGAAGTTTTGGGCGGCCGTCATCGTCGCCGCTGAGAGAAAAAGGAAAACTTCCGCTGACAAGAGAAGCACCACCAGATTTTGCTGCTTGTCTCTCATCAGACTTGCGATGATGACAGGCCCTGCTAAGTGAATTATTCGCCAACACTAACCAGTTTCACATTTAATCCTGCAAGAGGACCGACGCACCAACTTTGTTGAAAAAACACACGCGATGCCCAAGAACTTTTTCTGTGCCAAGAAACAATGAAAAAAAATGGGATTTTTCTTATCTCGAAGTGTGCCAAGATTGCGTGTACAAAGACTGGTCCATTCGGATTTTTTCTTTATAATTTATATCGGAGAATTTTTCAGACCGCGTTATAAATATTGGTGCAAAATCGACGTGTGTGACACTTTTGGAAGACCAATATTTGCGTTCGCTCTTTTGGCGTCAGTTTATTTTGCCGATTTCGATCCCTCTCCAAAAATAACTGCTGTTTTCTTTGGGCAAAAAAGTAACTTTCTCTGAGCAAATATTTTTAAGCACATTTTTGCCGGATCTGATAAAAAAAATAGCTCATTCTTTGAAAAATTGCTGAGAGAAGAATCAGCACGAAAAAGAAAGGTTTTCAATGTTTAACTAGAGGAGGAGGGAAGAAAAAAATGCAAATTTGAGAAATTCCACCTCTTTTGCATTTTGCTCCGAGATGAAAAAGTCAATGTAGAGCGACGTTTTAACTGCAACGAGCGCCGCTCTCGAGATTTCCCAACCTTGGAACAAAAGCAGGTGTTTGAAGTGTAAAAAAAGAAGGTATTTAAGAGAGATTTGCTTTAACAAAAAAGCACTTTACAATAATTTAATTTAAAGTAGTATTTTTTTTTTAAATTTAAAACAAATATTATTATATTCTTTATTATAAACAATATTTAAGGTAATAATGATTTTTTTTATTTAAATTTCTATTAGTCAGTGAATAATACATACAAACATTAGATTTTTTTTAAATCGTTGTTGATAATTTTTTTAGTTAATACAGAAAGATAGAGCATAAATATATAAATTACGTCTTCAAGCTATTTTGCTCATTGTTAAATAATTAGAATAGCTCTTCAGTGTTTTCTTACTTCATTCTTGATAGTATAATTTGGAACAAACTTGATAGTACATAATAAAATAATGAGCCACTATTGATATAAAATAAAACCTGCATTGTTCTCGTTGATCAAGACAAATCCTCCACATATAGTAATAAAATTTTTATTTTTCATTCAATATATTCAAGACAAATCATCGAACATATGAACCAGCAAATAACAAGTTTTATGAACATTGCTCACTGGAAAATGAACTGAAGTTAAAAAAAAAAATTATTATTCAAAAATTTCAATTAAAATTAGAAAAATAAGTGATTCTGAATTTAAACATTATTTATACTTAAAATTAAATTAAATTTGAGAGAATGCCCGGTGAAACATTAATAAACATAATTTGCAACTAAATTGACTTCTCAATCCCTCGTCAATGTTTCAGGAGAAAATCGCTTATGAAAATAGGAGAGGCGCATCTCCCTTCAACATCCGAAGCAAAAAATCAACTTGAACGTTGCTCGCATTCCGTGGCAATTGTTTCCCTTCCGCTAAGATCCGAGTGTGGTCGCGAATGATTTTCAGCCTCCACAGGACACAAGCTGCTGCGGGTCGGACGCAAAAAGTGATTGTTGGCGGCGGCGGCGGCAAACACGCCGCGCGTGTTATGATTAATGGCGACATTGCGTCGCACCCCAGCTCGCGCCGTTTTTGCACATTATTGGAAGAGACAAGGCGAAAAAATGTGCGGCGCGCGAAAGCCGCAGATCGACCCATGATTAATCGCCTGCATCGTCTTATATCATCGCGAAAAATTATTAATCCACCCCCCGTGACAAGATAATTATATGGTGTTATTGATCACCGCTCGCTTACTTGTGTACCAGATTTCCAAGGCTCGATCGCTGCAGCTCATCGCGGCCCGGCCTGTCAAAATAAATTGATTGCGCCGCTAATGCGAGCAAAGAAAGGGTTGTGACAGCGTTCAGCGTTTTGCAACTCGAGACCTCGAGGCTTGTTTGCTTCCGCCGGACGAGTCACGTTTGAGCCGCACCAATTAGGGCTTTGCTTTTCAATTATCATACAATGAATGCAATTTTTTGTGCTAAAATCTTATTTGAAAAACTGACTCTCTAGTTTAATTGCTTGCTTCAATTTCTACAAAGTTAATTGATCGAGCAGTTAAAAAATTATAATAGAAAAATTATTATAGAAAAAAACATTTATATGCAGAAACCAAAAATAAAATTATCACACAACATTCATAAATAATGAGAAAAATGGTTATATATAAAAAAAATTAATAAAAGGTTGCATTTCTTTTTCTTTATCAAAACAAATTCATTATTTTTAAATGCAAATGAAATTTTTAATTACATTTTTATTATATTGTTTTGAAAAATTGACTGTCTAGTTTAATTGCTTGTTTCAATTATTTCTACAAAGTTACTTGATCGAGCACAAAAAAAAATTATAATAAAACAGAAAAAAAACATTTATATGCAAAAACCAAAAATAAAATTATCAAATAACATTCAAAAATAATGTGAAAAATGGTTAAAACAATAAATAAAAAGGTGCATATATTTCTTATTCTTTATCAATTCATATTCATTATTTTTAAATGTAAATGAAATTTTTAATTAAATTTTTATTATATTATAGTTCATTTGAATATAACTGCATTTGAAACTAATTTATCTACATTAAAAAAATGCTTTTCTATTATTCAAAATTTAAAAAAAAAATTTGACCCAAAATTTGTTAATATTGTGTCGGACGGTAAAAAGTCTGAGATATATTGTTGTTCTTGTCTAAAATAATCTTGACATTCGACTTATAATTTCCATCTATTTTTCCAAACTCCTCATGACGTCAGCCCCGAAACAGCTTTTCCTCCCGAAGATATCATCAACAGTCCGGCGGGTCATTCGTTCGAGCGTCTCTCGTCGCATCAAGTTAATTGACTGGAATCCATTAGGCCGGGAGTTGAGCTCCAATTAATAAAACTACTTTTCCACCCACCACCGGTGCAGCGATCACGTGGCTTTTAATCTCGGGGCCATTAGCAGTGGTTGCAAAACCGGAAAAACGACGCAAACTGATCCAATCTCATCCGTCGGACATGAAAACTTTCACCGGCGCGCATTTCGAAAGCAACTTTAATCTCCCAACTTTCGGACCAAAATAAAATTCCATCGCAGGTCCGAAGAACCAGCATCCAATTCGTCATTGTGACAAACTTTTTTGCAAGATCAAACAATCTCTTCTTGCTCGAGATGAAAGCCCATTCTGCCTTTTCGTTTCCTTTTTTGCTCCGGCTCTGTCGGCTCAATATTTATTTGTAACAATAGCGGATCGGTACACGTGACGAGGAAAACATTTTTGATCAATAAGTGATTATTTTGAGATAGCACGGACGGATATGAGCTTCTTCGGAATTGGATGAATTGAAAACAGGCATTTTCCGCAACGGATTTTATGAGTTGTTCATTTTAATTTCATTGATGAAGAAACGAGATCCTACCCATGCTTAGGCCTGAATTATTTTAACAAAAATTGATATTCTTATTTTTTTTTAAAACGTTTTTTTTTTAAATTCCATTAACTTCATCAATTAAACACTGAATTTAAAAAATATAGCTTTTCTGGATATTTCCAGCTTTGAGACACTGTTCAGGTGTATAAATGGTTTATCGTATCAGATTGGATCACATTGCGCTTTCGTTCAAGGAAACAATAAATATAAATTTATCGGAAAAGTCGAAGCAGTGAAGAACGTTTCGCTCTCTTCTCAAATGGATCGTCCTCTCATTCTCCTTGTTAAAGGAACAAACAAAGAATCGCTTCTGCCTAAGAGAAAACGTCTGAAAACTTTTGCAAGTGTAACAATAAAATCGGCAAATGAAACAAATACGCTTCGGACTGTGCGGGCAATGCGCGGATTTTTATTTTTTTTTCCACATTTGTTTGTGTTGTTTGCTTTGCTAAAATCAACACAAGCGCCGGCCGAATTAACGTTTCATCCACAT